TGTTGATCTTCAACAAAGTACCTACAGTGCCAACAACTGACTTGCAAGGTGCTTATCCAGCTGTTGTTAGTATTGAAGAAAGTCTTGCTAATCTGTAGCAATGTACATTAAATATGTTCATGTACTAATACAATATATTATGTTTTTCGCATGATTAGGTACACCATTCCTTTAATATTATTTTTATGCCAGTCAAAAACAACCTGCAACCTTTCTGTCTTGAAATTTTTACGATGGTCCTTAAATGGTCCAATATATGGCCATTTTTCCCGTTTTATATAAATGCATGTTAAACTCAAAATTTTCAATATATTTGGTATATTTTTCTTTGTAGTTTGTACACTAGATAGATACACTTTACTAATAAGTACCAATGCTTAGCCCAGTACCATAAAATATGTCCAAAAATTAATATCAAACCTTAAGGTGGCCATATTCGACCCAGGTACTATATATAGGTGGACTGCGAGGCGCAGTGGATAGCTGGAGCACTGAGGCGCGCCAGCCCGTAATAACAATTATGTAGTTATGTAAAACATTTAAAAAAAAAAAACAAAAAATTTTTAAAATAAATTAATTTTTTTTTCTGAAATGGATTACTTGGCATGCGATAAAATATATCGTGTGAATTTCAAAATCATGTTCTAAATACATTTTTGTCATAAAATGAATTCAAAGTGCCAAAAATTGGCTATGTTTACATTTTTTTTCTATCGAGCAAAGTTATTTAAATCGTGTATTGATCTTTCAAAATGGATACATAAACTACTCAACTCCACCATATATTTTTTCAATTCGCCCTACTTCAAGAAACGATGACGAAAAATGGAAAGAAACAATGTACATTTTTGGAGTTTGGCGACCAGATAGGTCCTTATGCCGTTTTTCATTTTCTAAACATTTTCAGTGTTACCTAGGTATTAAGGCGAAACGAAATTCGCGGGGGCAGCTCGTTTTAAATAAAATGTTATCAGCCCTAGTTATGAAGTCATTACAATATTTCGTGCTTTTAAGACAACAATGCTGATATGATAGACAAGTATAACAAAGGTAAACAATTAAGAAGCGTTAAAAATCAATTTTATGCTCCGAACGTGAGTAGAGATACAAGGAAGACGTGTTTCATAATACCTAAATGTATTAGGGGAGACCGGGTACAAAAGTAACGGCGGGTCGAAAGTAACAAATGCTCTCTAGATTCATCCAATGGGCGAAAACAGCTTCGCCGGTCAGGCGATAGCTGAGAGTGCCCCCTCCTTAGTTAGTGCCGTACTCCACGACTGTTACGTGTTGAGAGGATACTACGTGTTTTACAAACCAAAACTAAGTTTTTCGATATTTTGTTATTTAATGTTTACATGTCGTAAAGGAGGTAGTAATCTGAATGTTTGCATATTATTTGATTAGATTATGTACATTGTTTAAATTTGTTTTTGTTTAGCACGTTCCGTTTTTAAGTTATATTTCATGTTTCAACAAAAATGAGGAAGGGTACAAAAGTAACAAACAAACCTAGCAAGATTGTTGCTCAAAAGGAACTAAACAAGTAGGTGCAGTAACCTCAGAACGTGGAAGATTAGGAACTGTTGCTGTTGCCATTAATGCTCAAGGAGGACACATACCTCCTTTTTCGTATTCCCATTTAAACAATTCTAAGACCACATGATTCTTGAGGGTCCTGTTGGTTGTGCCGGAGCTGGCAATGCTAGTGGATGGATGCAGAATGCAGAACTTTACTTTTTAAATAAATAATTGTTGAATAAACATATAATATTGTATTAATTACCAACCTCTTCGTCTTGTTACTTTCGACCTGCCTACGTGGTCGAAAGTAACAACTGATGATTTTTTTTTAACTCTCTGTTATTCATATAAAACACACCATAGTAAAAAAAATCGAGCTGCTAGTGTAAAGAACATAAACTGAATTTATATATGGTTATATTAATTTAATGACAATATTAAAACCTGGCCACAAATCAAGTGTGAAGTACAAAGTGTTACTTTTGTACCCGGTCTCCCCTACATATATCTAACGCGTCGTCAGAGATAAAGGCAACTCTGTTTATTAAATAAAACCTGACAATATTTTGACCTTGACATATATTTTGGCCGAAATTTATGAATATAAATTCATTGAAAACATGGAGATTCGGATAGAAACAGCTAAGTACCATTTGACAGCTTACTTAGGGCTCGAGAAGGTTTTGTTTACTTGCTTTGCCCATATTGATGGTAATAAATAAATAAATTCTTAATCCCTAGAACAAATGTAATTTAGATTTGGAATGTGTATATTCTTAGTAAATGTTTATTTAACTAAAGAGATCATATACGTATATTGTATGAAAACGTTGCTTGGCTGTCAAAACACAAAAACATAAACCAAATTACAAAAAGTTTATGTAAAACCAGTAAAAGTAAAAGCAAACAAAGATAATGCGATAAATAAACAAATGTAAAAGTCTCCACCTCGGGAGTACTATTTTAAATTACTGACGTACTTTAAATTGTTCGAACGGTCGGATTTAAAAAAAATTGCCTTTAAAGTAGTGCTTTACTTTCGATTCTAAAAAAATTGCCGCTTAATTCCCTATTTTAGTTTATGCTTGCTGTAAGGTAGTAAGGTAGTAGGCGCAGGAGTAATAGGCACGAAGTCTGGTCAGCAGCGCACTTCTTCTCGCGTATTGATGGTGTGGGAATACCTGTGGCGGTGTGTTTAGCATTGCAGTCGCCCGCGAGAATCGTCGGCTAACTAGGCGACTAAAATAGTTTCATAGAGCAAAACTAAGTAATACCTATTTAGGTGTGTATATTTTATTGCGAGCGGGAAGAACGGCGCTACCAATTGTACGCTACACACTGTCGCCATACCAAAATGTGTACCAACCCTTGAGGAATAAAAGTAGTAATGCATTTTACTATTTGAAAAACTTATACAATGGAAATATATGATAATAATATGAAATGCATGTCACACACTGTTGCACCCTACGTTGCGTCAATAATTATCACATTAAAACGTTAATAATATTAGGGTTATAAAATTAAAGACGAATTAATTTTTCAATGTTTATTTTTTTTACATTGTTCTAAATTATATCACGAGACAATGGAATTAGGAGTCGATAAGTTAAAATTATTTTCGAGTATTAAATTACTCTTTATGGGTCAATTACAGTCTTTTCTATAACCAGACAATTTACGACAAATAAACGTGGAATAAAGATACCGCCCTTGTTGTTACTGCTGTTTGTCAGTGTAACCATGGCAACAAGCACGTTATTTTAATCCATTACGTAATGACATAACAGATTCATAAGCCTTAATAAGTATAGGATGTTAGACATATTTTATAAAGTGATACGAATGGTAAAGACTTTGCAGAATATTTAAATGTTTATGAAACCGCCGTCCTCAGAGTCGTCCATTAAATTTGTTCTAATGGTAGAGTAATGCCCGTATAACAACTGATTTAAAGAAAAAGTCAAGAAATACTTAACTTCCGATACGATTAAAAGTGAAATTATTTAGCTTAAGAAACCATTAAGTGTTATCGAACGACACTGAGTACGGATGTATGTAAGGAAACCCCGTGTAGTACGGTCAAAGAATATCACCATTAATTTGTATGGGCATTAATCAGTATATTTGTTAAGTGTCACCAAATAGTGATCATATAAGATTTTCTATGAAAAAATACACAATTTGTTTTAAATAACGGGGTTTTTGTACACTTCACAAAGTCCGGATACTAAGATTTTTAATAATTACCCAAAAATTATTTTCTATAATCAATCCGCGTAAAATTAAATACATGAAATGATTACATTTAGATTGCAAAAAATATTCAATTGTCAATATTAAACTATAAAATAAATTACTGAATCACATTTTTTACTCTAAAATTAAAAAAATGATGTAAAAATATACAAAATGTAATCACGGATGTGATCTTTGATTTTTTTTCTAACGAATACCATTGACCCGCATCAGTTTCTACTTATATTTCTAATACATTCATTCATATAGTTTAGGAAATGACTTATTTTAAAACATGCATGTTTCAAGGCAATCTACAATATTGATAGAAGCATACAATTCTTGATTGATAATATATAGAATTAGAACAGTATTCATTTTGTTTATGTTTATAGTCGTCATGTCAATTATGTAGATGTCATCTCTTAAAAAACTCACTTCACATCACTTAAACTAAACAAAATGGTTAAAATTGATACCTAGTTTCACTTAAACATATAAATACTACAAATGAAACCATTTGCAGAGTAAAAAAATAAAATGATACCTCCTTTCAAGGTAATAATCAACGCTTACCGCACACACTAAACAAACCTTCATTCACACTTTTAAATAGTTTAAATTTAATATATGATGCTCTCATGTCAGGGTTTCAATTTAAATAACAAGTCATAATTACTTTTTTGAACTAGTTGTTAATGAAATTCGCATTCAATATTCGTGTTCGCAGTAGCACAAGCTGAACGATAGTCTTGTCAAGGTATACTTGATATGATAATGTCATTGTCATATATTTTATATTATTCAATAATAATAATCAAACATCGAATTCTTTTAGTTTCAACATCCATAGAACAAAGCTAATCTTATTAATTTTTTTTGTTACTATACTCTTACGCTATAAGATTTATTGTTAGTGCGAAAGGTGAAACCATTTCCTATGAAGTTAGCCATACATGAAAATGCTTATTGCGACAGTGGCTTCAAAAATAGACCCCGGACATAATAAATAAAGGAAACATATAATAAAGTTAGGTAGACAAGTTTTAGACTACATTGAACTAAAATTCAATTAGAATAAATTAGCTATATGTCAATGTCAATAAACACGTGTTTTGTGTCAATAAAAAATGTTTCTTACAGTTTGAGCCAGTCAACTTATTTTTTTAAACAGTAACCGAGTTTCCCAGAAAAAAAAACATAGTTCACCCGATTGTGTGTACGGTGCCTAAATTGTCCTAATTGGTGCTTGGGCTGTCTGTACCACTTCCACTGTTATCGTTTGTCAGAGATTTAATATTTTTATTATTTCTTTTAGCAGACTTGCTCAGTGTTGCCACTTCCTTAAGCAAATTCTGGATTTTGCTGTTCATAAGGCTGAATTTTGTCTCATTAAGACGCTCTTTGTTCTTCATCTCGATACGGAGGTCTGTTGTATCATTGTGGTGTTGGGCCTTAAGTTCTGTTATCTGAAAGATAAGTAGGTTATAAAACATTATAAAATGAAAATTGGTTTGGCCTCAATTTTCAAATTGGTTAATCAAAATTAACCGAGAATGTTTTAATGTCTATGAATAGAAAGATAATGAAAAAAAAGAAGAAACATTAAAATCCTTACCAATTTATCTTTGGAGAGTAATTCCATCTCTTTCTGCTGCACTTTCTTCTGTAAACTTGCAATAGTTTCCTTCAATTGTGTCATAGCTACTACATGGTCTGAACTGTTAGGATCTAATTCCCCTGGAAATGTATTAGGAAATCTGTTTAAAATAATAGACAACAGTCTTCCCAAATGATTCTGATAAAATTTATGACATAAAATTATTACATTCTTATGATGATGATGATCTGTGCAGTTGTAAAATCCCAAAACCAAATCAAGGTTAGAAATTGACAAGACTATTAAGGGAGCATATGAGAAGGTACCCACCCATGCAGGCAGGTTATTATTTTTATGCTGCTTAACAATGTCCTTTTCTCTCGAAAAACTTGTAAGAGGTTCTACTTCACAGTTAATAATGCAATGGGTATGAAAGTTTTACACTTATTATGTTTTGCTTCTTCATGAATTAATGATGCCAGCCTGATAGTGTATATCTTAATATATATAAATTACGTGTCACGTTGTTTGTCCGCTATGGACTCCTAAACTACTTAACCGATTTCAATCAAATTTGCATACCGCAGTTTGAACTAACTTAAAAGATAGGATAGCTTACATCTTCATTTATACCCGTAATATTATTTTATTGCAAATTATTCGTTTATTATTTGACAGTCACAATTCTAACAGATGGCGCTGTGTTGAAAGTACCAACGTTTCACATAAGCTACAATTTAATGGCATAACCACCAAAAAGCATGGTCCCCATTGGTCCCCATGACTGGTGTTCTCCTACCGTTTCCCTTGAATAGTTTACTACTTTGTGATATAACAAAAACTTTAGCCACAGCAAAGCTTGGCCGAGTCTGCTAGTATATATATTTGAACACTAGGAAAATGTGATAATAGGCCAAAAAATATATTTCATATTTTCAGAATAAAATATCTCAGGACACTGTCAAAGACCAAGCTTATAAAGAAAAACTAAGTCTATCTTCCTTAAGCATTGGCCATATGCATTTATAATTAAGTCTGTTTTTATTAACCAGATACTGCATGAACATTCTATGAATTGATATAACTTATAAAGTCAATAAAGCCTCAAATAAAAAATGCAAATAATAAAAAATTATATACATATACCTGAGAACAAACCTTGAAGTGGGTTTAGTTTAGATTTTTTCTCCAATGGGGCATCACCCATGGATAAATCGTTACCATTTCCTTTCATTGAGTCAGATTTACGCTTTTCTTTGTGATTGTGTTTGGATCTGTATTAGAAAACTTCAATCTGAATATATTTTTATTAAAAAATAATTTCAAGTAATTTATTTTAATTTTAGTAACACTTAAAATCCTATTAGCAAATAGATTAAATCTTGTGTGTAATATAATAATGACAAATGATTTTATCAGATTTAATTATTAGTTTCATATATTTAGCCATCCAACTAGCTTGTAGCAATAGAATTTATATAATGTAATGCATGCTCAAGCCATGAGGCATTTTATAATAGACTCACTTGTGAGATCTGTGCTTGTGTTTGTCAACTGAAGAAAGATGCTGTTTGGTTCTAGCAAGAGCTCTCTTCAATGATTGGGTGCAGAGCCAACATAGCAGTTTGCCATCAACCTAAAACAACATCTGATTATTCTATATTCTATGGATATGGAAAATACTTTTAGTAGTTAAAATTCAATTGAATATATATTATTTAATGACATACTGAAGTTTATAAAATAGTACTTTACACAAAATTGTTACAGAAGGTTTACAAAACCTACCTTTTTACTATCATCATGTCTGTCAAAAGCACATCTTTGTTTACATTGCTCACATGTTACAGCGGACCCATATTTTCTTTCTGAATTTGCACACCGCTGACATTTGTTGCCTTAAAATATGTAAATTCAAGATAAAAATATTTATATATTAATAATTTATTTGTTTAGAGCAGTGTTTCCCAATGTGGGGTCCAAGGTGGACAAGGGGACCATGTGATTGTTAAGGGCTATTCAAAAATTAATTTAAATTATTTTAAAAATTTCCTAGTATTTTTTTCTAAAACCTATCATTTAAGTTTCTTCAGTGAACCATTAAATTTTTTAATATTAAAAATTATGTATGTCTAGGGTCTTAAGAATTGAATGTTTTTTCTAAAGTGGGGCATGGGGAAAAATATAAGTAGGGAAACACTGGTTTAGAGCTTTTTTACTCCCTATGGTTATATTATGTATCTGTCATTAAGTTCTTTTAGTGGGTTTTTTGTCTAAAGGTTTTGTCTAAATGTTACCTACCACTTTTCGCTAATTATTTACATTAAGAACGTACCAATAAATGCAGCGATGATGTTGCAATATTCACATGCAGTAGGTTTGCCATAAGCCTTCACATTCGCTTCACATTTCTTACATATTGATGATGTATTTGATTTACTGTGGAAATAAAGGTATAAATTTAAAAGCTTTGAATTAATAGATATACATTATTCATACAAAAGTAGTTAAAATGCAATTAGTGTGAGCTGACTGTTAATGGGGTGACATCAAAACATCTGTGCAGCAAATAAAAGGAAAGCAAACTTAAATCACATAACCTGACACTGACCTTGTTTGTTGAAACTCCGATCGACAGTACGTGCATTTCACCACCGGGAACGAACCACGGCATTCCTGAAATATCCAAACAAATTCGCGTCAGCACTGACGTCAGAAAAAACAGTTATGATACGCAGAATATCAACTACGGACTAAACTAAATACTCGACTATGATGTGGTTTACAATCTTACTTTACACAGCTGTTCTCCAGGGGATAGTTCCTCGAAAGGATGCCTTGAAAAACAACGGGAACAAGCAAATAGTGCAGTTGACGTAGCAGAACTCATTTTTACTGTTAAGAATTCCTATTTACTGATATTGACACAATTATAATGATAGAATTAATGATTTAAACAATACACTTGAAAAACGTTTAAAGTTTTGAATTAAAAAAAAATACGGCAGAAATTAATCGTTCTCAAAAGAAAGACCAACAATCGCCATGATTGAAGTCACTAGTCAGTGTTGCCAACATGAATTTTGAATTAGAAACACCTATTAATCTGGAAACTTATCGATATAATGATAAGTCTAACCTGTCTAACCGTCTCCAAAAAACCGAAGAAGCAGATTTTTAATACGACGTGTATTTTTTAAATCTATAAGACATTACGATAATGTCAATATGATGAGTAGATAAATTATTTATTGTTAATTATTTTATTTCCTGACGATTGTTAAATAAGAGAAGCAGTGAAACATGAATGTACATAACATATTATGTAGGGGACATAATATAATTTGTCGCTTCATACTACAATTTAGGTTCAAAAATTATTCAAGTTGTGTATAGTTCTACCGGAATCTCATGGTAAAAAAAAATGCAAAAACTTATAGGACGACATCATTACACGCAGAAACCCTACTGGCCGGGATACTTCCTCTATATCTCCGTATTCAAGAAGCCGCTGCCTAATACGAGATAAGAAGGGGGGTCAGCGTGGAGGGCGAAGAATTAGAGAGGAGAGTGCAATACGTCGATCTTCCACATCCGGCGAAACAAACGAAACTGGACTACAAAATGGTCACCAATCTGGAAGAAATCGAAAGATACGGCGGCACACAAATCTATACCGACGGCAGCAAAACAAGTATAGGAGTGGGTGCCGCGGCCGCTTGGACGGAATGGAAATAAATAGCAAGAAGATTGAGATGGCGCCTCACTGAACAGTTTTTCAAGCCGAATTGACGGCACTACGAAACGCGACTAGCCACATAAATAAAAATAAGCGTGACGCTAAAATATACAGTGACTCCAGGTCAGCATTAGATGTTATTGTGAGTGGACGATCTCTCGATCCCCAGGATGACGAGATCCGCCGGAGCCTGGAAGAGTGCCGCAATAGAGGAACTCATGTAAGCCACTTCTGGGTAAAGGCGCACGTTGGTACGCTAGGGAAAGAGAGGGCGGACACGTTAGCAAAAGAAGCCGCGGAAAAACTAAGGTAACCTGAATACGCCGCATACCCATGTCTTATATAAAACATCAGATAAGGCAAAAGACTCTAGATGTATGGAATGAGCGCTACAAATTTTAAAAACATAATCACAAAATCTCACCAGTAGTTGACAGATCTTGTACTTCGGTTCGACGGTGACACTTTACGTTGCCATATGAAAATCTCATTGTTTTATTTTTGTTTCATGCCATGAGATTCCAGTAGACTTATACCAGTTACATCTGTGTACTATATAAATCGTCAAGAAAATTAAGGAAACGGGTAGTAAGTTTAATAGTTCGTCATTTCACGGAGACATCCTAACATCTCTTTGAAAATAAAGGAACCTTCTGAACCTGACACACACACTATTGTCTAAGGCCTACATAGCGCCAAGTAATGGGTGGATCCTGAGTATGTTTTTGTGTGTGTTATTTATTGCCTAATTCGGTTAGAAAATATTTATATAAAAATATTTTTAACCTGTCGGTCATCAATTTTCTCAATGCAAGAGAAATATTTTTTGAAGGTGAAGACGTACTCAGGATCCATATATTACTTGGCGCTATGTAGGCCTTAGACAAGAGTGTGTGTGTGTCAGGTACAGAAGGCTGATTACCTACAAAATCATCAAGACAATGGTGTAGATATACTAAGGATTCAGACGGTCATGATGCCGATGTTTTCGTTTCCTTTCGCAAAAGCATTCACGTTGTACGTACTTGTTCTGATTGTAATCTGTAACTGTAAATTCTCATAACGTATAACGATATGAAATAGATGATGACTTAGAGACTATACATTATTTAAATTCAACGAAATAAAAGTCCATACTGATTCCTCTTCGTTTCTTTATTAGACCAATATTTGTATATTTAATAAGCTTTAACTGAATTATGTAACATATATATGAAAACTATGTTTTCCTATAATATTAAAAAGTAAATGTTATTTTATTTACTATTTTATCACATTAACATTTTTTATAAATAACTACATATATATATTTTATTTATATTAATTTGTTTTATTAATTTTTACTTGACTTACAGAATTTTGCAGAACGAATTTTTAGTATTTCTACTCTATAGTCATAAGGCATTGGTCATTATACTTGTAGTATTCTTTCTGGTCTGTGATCTCTCTTCTCTTGTTTAATGTTTGGTTGTGGAGGTGTATTGCGAGTTGGTTTTATTTTTAAAATGGGTATGAAATAACTTTCTATGCATTTCATACTTATTTATTTTTAATTCAAGACCTGTTACACAAGTCAAAGTACGTTTTAAAATGGATAAATCATCGTTTCCACCGCAGGATTTGGCTAAATTAGTTCTTGGTAAGTTGTTATTGTTTGGCGGGAGTTCGTTATCCCAAGAAAATTCAGCGCAGAATAATTAAAATTAATTTGATTGTATATATTTTTAAGGATACCTCGCGGAAGAAGAGTTAATGACGGCCTATGATGAATTTCTCCAAGCTAGTCCGTATTTGGACGCTTACGAAAATGAGTATGATAGAATTCTAATGACGTCTCTCAGGAGTATTTTGGCAGACTATAGGGCCGTTAAAATTTATGGTAATAATATCCCAAACACATATAAATTTTTAAAACTGCAATTTTACATCATCTTGATTAATAACTTATTAATTTCCAGTGGAATCTTGTAAACCTCCCCCATTAAGAAAAAAGTTGCTTCAATGCTACAATGTGCTGGAAATGGTAAAATATCTCATAACTGTGGTAGATCTTCAAAAATTACCGAGTCTGGAAAATATAGATAGAAGCAGGTAATGGAGGACTTAATTGTTATTATATTTAATTTTATATTTTTTATTACAATTACAGTTACCTTTTATTTGCTTTTTGTATGCCTTTTGTTACTAGAACTAGTCCAGAATCTATCTTCTAAAACTTTAAAGATGAATAATTTCAAAACTACCAGTTTCATACTCAATTCATGCGTCAGTTTTGTTGCAAGCATTATCTTTATTCATTCTAATTAGTGATATATTAACAGTAGATAATTTAAATGAAATTTCCGAAATAAATAATGTTGTGGAAGTTAATTAGAGTTACATGTAATCAATTTGTTTATAAAAATTAGGATAAATCTTAAAGCCTTGTACATGTTATTTTGCTATTGCTTTTTCACTTATATTGTGCCTCTGAATTTAGTTTCAGTAAATCAATTGCAATGCCAAGATTATCATGCAATGTTTGTATAACTATGAATTCAAAGAGTTGTGTATGTAAAAATAAAAGTTTGACTACTGAAGATAAACAACTGAGTACTGCGGAGATTAACTTACACAGTTCTGTGGAAGCAACACCCTTAGCTGATTTGCCAGGTAAGGATACTATTTAATGAAGTAAAATAATTCCTACAAAAACCCAATGGTTTGTAGGATTATTTAAGAAAAAGTATTGACTTTTTGTAATATAAATGGAGAAATATTTACTCACATGTTCCTTTCCTTCCATACAAAGCTCTAAATAGATTGATAAAGGTCCAAAATAGATGTTAAATTAATGTTTTGAAGTGTAACATGCCCAGTTAATGCATAGATTGGCAACTTAATTTTATATAACCTCAAATTCAATGTGCAAAAGCTGGTGAAAGAAGTTCAAATTTTCAAAACAATACTTCTTGCTGCTGTGATGTTAGAATTAATTTTAATATGAAAAATAATACTAATTTTATTACTATTGCAGGAAATGCATTGTCATCTAAAAGAGTGGTACCTGAAAAAGAAACAAAAAAATTTACAAATTTAGAACAAACAAATTGTAATTTAACCTGCAATTCCTTAACAAATATCACACAATCTATAAATGAGAGTCTAAATGTGAATTTAAACCAAAATAACCAAGTAAGTTAATATTTAAAACAAAATATGTAAATTAAAAAACGGGACCCATTATTCTTCGAATTCAATAAATATTTAGTTTTTTAGGTTTATGGTTAACTTTTTAAACCATATTATAGCCTTTCATTATAATGTCAGTGAATAACAATTGCAATAATCTCAATTTGGAAGAGATTGCACTAATAGTGTTAACCTTGACATTCTTACAGTTGCCCATGCAATATTTTAAATAAATCAGTAATCATTTAATTCTTGCACAATAATTTTTGCTATCAAGAATTAAGCCCACCCTGGGTATATAAAAGTATCAAATACCAAGTTTATAGACAATTGAGTAACAAGTGTTACTTGGATATTACACCAATTAGATATTGGTTGCTTTATTAATACACTTCAATTGCAAGCATGAGGAATTTTTCCATATGCATAGCCCAATTTACAAAGGCGTCGTAAATAAATAAAATGCTGTGCTCTTTTATATAAAGTAGGGGTAAATGAGGCTACAGGCTAGACTTAATATTATATTACTATTGCGGCCCATGAACTCTCATTTCCTTAGTATTTTTGTTTCATTTCTTAATATCTGGTCCACCCTGTCGATATTCTGTTTTAATAGTTCACTAATGGTCAAATAATCAATTAAAGACCAGCTGAAGCCGATCTCTAGTAATCATAAATTAATAAGATATTAAAATCCCACTATTAAATTCTTATACACTTAACATAAATGTTGAACACCATGATGAATTTTCTTTTGATTTATACAAATCAATGACAAAGTTTAATTGTTATTTATAAAATTTTCAGCCACCAAAAGTAGTTTCTGATTCCAGACAGAAGATAGAGGAATTCAACACAATACTTAATTTAGTATGTAATAAAAATGTCACAAATGAAAAGCTCTGTGATAACTTAGTTTCGAATAGAGGGTCAAATGCGACCACTATTCATGATTTTATTTCTGGTGTTCAAGGTAAACATTAATTTGATTATTTTATGGCTAAGACAGTATACTGTATAATAAAGTATTTTTTTGTAAATAAAAAAATATTCTATACAATCGAATAATGAATCAAAACTGTTTTTCAGGGAGTAACCATGACAAGGAGATGAGGGTCCCTGACTCGAGTACAACAGACCCAGTGTACATACCCATGTAAGTATTTCTTTTTAATATAATAAAAATATATAGATCTTTGCTACATTCTAATATGTCATATAGCCTTCGTAGTGTACTTGGGTAAGCTTTTACTAATGTAAAATGAAAATGTGTGTGATTGAGTAGTCTTAGTAGAATAGCTGGACCGAAGGCCCCAGTGGATAAGGTTTTACTTTTTTTATGACGTCACCGGAGTGATTTGTAGGTGTCGCTACAGGCAATATAATCAGTGAAACAAAGACTCGATATTACATATAAAGATTAGATTGGGGTTTTTTTTCAAAACTGAGGGCCATATAAATTCTATTAGAAAAGCTCTGTAAGCAAAATGCTCCTTTAAAGAAAACACTTTTTTACCGGATTGAAGTTATGTATTATTATAAATTTACAATTATTTTAAATTTTTCCGACGTTTCGCGTACTTTACAGCGTGCGTGGTCACGGTGACTGAAGACAAAAGGTGTTAAATGTCAACACCTTTGATTGATGATTTGATGCACGCGAAACGTCGGAAAAATTTAAAATTATGTAAAATAATTGTAAATTTATAATAATACATAACTTCAATCCGGTAAAAAAAGTGTTTTCTTTAAATGTGTAAAAGTTATGTCAATAAAAGACAATACCAAAATGCTCTTTTTTTCAGAGAACCCAAGCCAAGTGAAACAATAATAACAGTCCATACAAAATATACACCCAAAATTGGAAGTGACACACAAAAACGTAACAAACCAGATAGCAACGTAAAAATTTTGTCTGACGTAAAATTTGACAATTCCTACGCATATGGTTCGGCTCCGGCAGTTTTAAAAGCCACTTCGACACCGACCGTGACCAACACGAAAAGGCTTCTAATAAACGGAACCCCGGGGTTCACGCAAAAAGGCGTTGTGAAGAAGTGTAATTTTTCTAAGGACGAAATAATGGCAATGCCAACTTTAATAATACTACCCACATCAGGTAATTATAGTCTTATTTTAGGGAGCGTTCAAGTATTAAGTCACGCAATATTTGGAGATTATTACACCCCCCACCCCCGTAACGTTCCCCCCCCCACCCCGTAACGTTTTTCTGTACCCAATAGTAAAACGTTTCGTGACCACCAAAGTGACTCTTTATACCTATCAGTCAACATTACGTGGTGTAAAGTCGAAAATAATATTAACAATAACGCGTAATTCAATCCCCGCCCCGCATCGTAACGTTTTACGAAAAGACAAAAATTCGTTACGTAATACTTGAACGCTCCCTTATGGCCTTTGAATGTAACGTATGTGTTAATGATTTTAGAATAGCTGAACTATTACGTAGCTTTGAGAGCAGTGTTGGCCTAGTGGCTTCAGCGTGCGACTCTCATCCCTGAGGTCGTAAATGTGCGCATTTAACATTCGCTCGAACGGTGAAGGAAAACACCGTGAGGAAACCGACATGTCTAAGACCCAAAAAAAAAAGTCGACAGCGTGTGTCAGGCACTGGAGGCTGATCACCTACTTAAAAATGATCATGAAACAGATACAGAAATCTGAGGCCCAGACCTAAAAACGTTGTAGCGCCACTGATTTTTTTATTTCGCAGCTTTCATACATTAAGTGGTCATAATCTTAGATTAGCGCCAATCATTTTTGTGTCTGTTTCGAGATCAATATATGAGTGCTTTGCAGATTTCAAGCGCTAAGTAATTTCATTCTTATAATTTGTCCTTTTATGTAAGTATTATTCAAGGACAAAAAAAAATCCGTTTTATGATTATTTGTCTATCTAATAGGCAAGTAGGTGATCAGCCTGCTGTGCCTGACACACACCGTCGACTTTTTGGATCTAAGACGGTTTCCTCACGTTGTTACCCTTCAACGTACGAGCGAGTGTATAATCGCACGCTGAAGCCACTAGGCCAAAACTGTTTTTTCAGCAGTATTAATGATTTGAAAAAAAATCTGACTAGTTAGCCATTGTTATTCCCATGACACATCAATCAATACTATAAATCAAGGCACTGGTTTAATTTTTAATGCGTTATTTAGTGATAGTGTAGTACCAATATATACCTATTCCATATAACATTTTTATCACTTATATTCGCTTTAGTACGTTACCCAATTGCAATTTAAAAATTACTGTTTATTTTTAGGTTCAACTAACTTAGTGAGTGAGCCCAAAGCAGATATGAATAAAACCACCACTACGACTTCTACTACCTTGTCCAAGTGTGAGCCGCTTTTTGTCGATGTTTCTTCGAGTATGCCTTCATTGGCTATATCTGATGACCCTATTGACAACGATAATATAATGACAAATACTAAAAACTTCAATGAAATTGGTCTTATAAAAACAGTTGATCCTGTAACTCACGCTTCCCTTCCCAAAGACAACACAATATCAACTAAAACTAGTACACCCCATGTTTTGCCTCCTATTAGAAAGTCTTCCTCGACTCCAAGAAGGACGTCTCATATTAGAGTTCTGGATTTTAATACACCTAGAAGAATATTAGATACAGCAATTTTAGAAAAAGGTTCTAATGACGACGATGCAGTTGTTATTATAAGTGATTCGCCTCTAGCGCCTAAATTTTCTGAGGTAGAAAAATCCCCTAAACTCGCGAATGTGGTTAAGAATTTAAATATAGAAATGAAACAAGTAAGAAAACCTAATTGGGACGAGGAGCTGCGAGCCCTGGTAGCTACAAACCAAGATCTTTTTCCACCAAGTTCTCTAAAAACAGATAAAAAAGGCAAAAGAAAAAAGAAAAAGACTGATGGAGAAAACTCTGATGAAAAAAGTAGTTCTGTAAAAAGAAAAAAATCAAAAAAGAAAAAAGACACCAAGACAATTGAGGAACCACAATCAAAGAAACAGTTACCAATAAAACCAACGATAAAAATTGTAGCAGCTGTAGAGTCAGAATCTCACAGTGAACCAGAAAATGATCAATTTATAAATAAACATAGTGAGGAAAATTTTGATACTCCTGAAAATGAGCGCTTATCTTTGCAAAATGAAATTGGAGTGAAACTGAACATATCTGATTTACTTGAAACTCCATATAAGCAAGCAATGTATGATATTCAAATGGAAACACCTAAGTTCTTAGGGCCTGACTTACCTGATGAACCAATTTCAGATATAAAAATTATGAATATACCTACACCAAGACTCTTCGATAATCCTAATCCAGCACAAGCTACCCCATCATCTTATTCGTCTCGACCAACCGATTATTCCAGTGGCGGGTCTTATTATAAACCAGATGATCACGATTATCCAATTCCCGATATTAGTGAACATAAAATAGATGAACCTCCGAAAACTCAAGAATTTAAAACAACTGATCCCAATAAGGAAACTAGTGAAATAAAAACAACAACAAAATCGAGAAGACCAACTAGAAAGTGTACTAAAAACGTATCATACTACAATAGTCCCAATTTCACAGCATTTTCAAAGCCAGTTAAAGCAGCAAGCAGGGATGTTTCTACAGAGGAAGTAAAAACATCGTCAGTAAAGTCTGAGCCTACCGATGTAAAAAAGAGAGGCCGACCTTTTAAAAATAAAGCAACAAAACCTGAAAAACACAAGTCGTCATTTAAAAGAGACGTCACAAAGAATTTTATGAGGATAAAGCCAAGACGTGTTACACCCATAAAGGATCCAAAAAATAGGAAATCTTTATATGATATCAGTCTCAGTGCCAAAAAGAGGAATTTAATAAAAGAAAAACTCAATAAAACTTCTCCAATGGTAGTTGCGCCTTCAAAATCGAGAAGAAAATCTTCAACACCTCGAAAACTTCAGTGTGGCAAAGTATTTCATTCGTCGACGTCAAGTAATACATCTCCAGATATTCCTGAAACAACTACAATTAAAAATATCAATATATGTATAACACGTGATAACTCTGTCGAACAGAAACTTCTTCGTTGGTATGATGATGTCTCAAAAAACAATAAGGAAGTAGAAAATAGGAAAACTACTACAAAAGAAGAGGAAGGCAGTAGAGTTAAAATCAAAGAATACATTGAAAATCCGAAATCCGAATTAAACCCTAGCACTAGAAATTTTCATAGTGATTTGGTCAAGAGAGGTTTGGATGTAGAAACAGCAAGAATAATAGAAAGAGATCTAATGGATCTGGACGGACCTCCGCTTCAAGACGGGGATGTTCAATCTACAAGTAATGACATTATCGAGGAAAACGTTGAAAAGTGTCCTTCCGATAGTGTCAAAAGTGATTTAAATGTAAATAAACAAAATGTCGACCCAATTACAAAAAATACAGACACCTTACCTGAAAGCGACGAAGAAATTGAGGACATAGAATTTAGTGTTTGTGAAAGCAACGAAGAGTCCAATAATTATTTTGTTCATAAATTTGATGAAGCATCATTCACGCCAAAAGATATAGTAAATTTAAAAGACAAATTTTGTATGGAAGTGTGCATAGATGATGGTGTAATTCTAAGGCTAAAAGCAACAAATTTCACTGGGTTAGTCAATGAAGAACCCATAAATAAATCTTATGATAAAAATGAAATAGATTCCGCTGTAACGTCTATTTCAAGTATTGAGAAGTTATATACGCCTATGAAAGATAGGCGAGCTCAGTGTTATGAACTTTTTGATTCCACTTTAACAAGTATAGATACACCGTTGAAAGCGAATAGTCCGAAGAGACAGGAACACGACGACTCTATTACTGAGATTATAGTAGATGAAGAAATTGTCAATACTAAAAAAAGGAAAAGGGTGCAAAGTCAGGACGATAGTGTAAATATGAAAAAATACAAAAGCGATTCCCAATATTTACTGAATCATGCTAGTATACAAAATATTGATATAGAATCGGTATTAAGTAAATTACATGGTCCATAGATTGTTACTAGATGTTATGTTTGTATGCAAAGTCTACTTTCCCTACAAAGTGTTAAATGTCGCTGACAAAGAAGTAGTAGTACCGTTAATAAAGTCATATTTTTGTATATAATTTAATGAATTACATAGACTTTGATGTTGACTTTTAAGTTGTTTAAGCTTTAATAAGAATATTAAGTGTTATTTTGACATTAGTTTGTAACAATTTTTCTTTTTGAAACAACCATATTTTTCTTGAATGGTAACCAATGATGTCTTATTATTTTATTATATCATTATGTGATTTGTGAAATCTGTTATATTGTGCAAGACACAAGAAAATAAATGAAAGTGTATAATTGAGATATCTTTTATTGAATAAAGTTATTGTAAAAAAAATTTGAAAACGGTCTTAAACCTTACCTTTAAAGAAATTTATTCTCATATGACAGAAAAAATAAACACGAAATAAAAGACAGAAAAAGTAAAACAAAAAGAAAAAGAAATCCTTGAAATATGGCCAAAATAAGGGTCATTATTAGTATGTAGAACTGTCACGAAATTATTGTGATGGTAGAAATAGAGAAACTGGATTAAAATAAAATGTTAAGCATATTAAAAAATAGATAATATCGTACGCTTGTTACAAATGCTACATATCTTATCTAATAAACGGGCCTCTTGCCCGCGCTGCAAGCTAGTAAGCGATGATTAACGCCAAATAAGTCTAGCCAATAATATATTAAAAAAATAAATTTTAAATCCTAGGTGCCTGTTATTCGGAGATTGCTTAGCGTGTCGGGTTTCATTGATTGTATGAATTCGATTTAAATGTATATTGCGTGGTCTTGATCTTTTCTTTTTTGCCTGCCATTTTTATTCAGTTTTGATAAACCCAACCTCTACTTTCCGTATGGCCAAAAACCCAAGGTAAACAGCGGTATATAGGCTCTTAAAGGGAGCAAATCATTCGACTTTTATCATTAAAATCGTAACGACGCGGTGAATGCGTTTAATTTGCAGTTGGGATTTGATAGTGAGCTTGCATGCGATTATTATGATATTACGTTTAATTAGATATCGCAATTAGAGCCGATCGTGACACCGTCGTACCGAACCGTTCATTACCCATGCTAATTTAAATAGCTACCGCGCACATTCGATAATCTCAGGGAAAAATCGCCGCTTAATGCTAATGGGGTTTCAACCGAAACGCATGCAACGTAATTTTACATAGTCTGAAAGTTTTCGGTTTATAAGCGTTGCTATGTTTATTAAGTGTAAAAATTATGTACCCAAATGCAAACGGAGAAATTGCTGTTTACAAGGCGCCCGATAAATATTCAAAAGTTGTATGCTTCCAATGTAAACTTATAAAACATGTCCTCCATTGAACGAACAGTTGGAAATTTTATTACAAGTAGGTACACTATTAAGTTTGCGGTGAAATGACATAACCTAGACCAAAATATACAGCAGTGTCGACGGGGTAGGGGTGTTCGTGAAGTAGGTCACGGATGCAAGCTCCTGACACAAATAGCTACATCGTATCTCGCCACGTGGCCTCATATTCCGCACTCTGCAGGGAGGCTGGAGTTCGTGTCGATACGTTTTAATTACTAGCAACACTTTAATTTACGTTTGTAAAGATTCTTGAAAAAACTTTTATAAAAAGTTATTAAAATATTTTCCAATCGACGGTAAACAATTATTAATATTTAAAATTATGATACATTCTCGCAGTCATATGATTTTCTTCAAAATGGAAGCGTTAACTTCAGATAAAATATAATAAAACTAATACATATGTGTGTATGTTGGCGTTACACTTAGTATAAGTAATTCTTTAAAGAGTCTGTGATTTAAAATTATAGAATATCTGTTTCAAACTGATATCAGTTTATGTCGTCATATCGTGCAGTGAACGTCGCCGATATTCCTGAGAATTTAGTAGCACTAATTCTACAGGCAGTTCGGTGTATAAATGATTCGGGGTTTACACCACCTTAGCCTCCCTCCTAATGTCTAACCCACCTCCGTCTCACAAAGTGCAACGACGACGTCGCCCGACAATCTGCGTGCTTTGCTTATTTTCGACTCTAATTCCTTTGCCGGAAATTATGCCGCACTCTTCTGTTCCACAAAAGTATGTTACGTAATATTTTTGAAGAATAATACAAGTTGGAATAAAGCTTTATTATTATTAACTTGTTATTGTATTTATTGTTGTACTTTATAAATAATAGCATTTAAAAGACCTAGTTGAGACGAGTTTTTATTTACTATTTGCTAACTTCTCGATTGAATTTATGATTTGATCGTCCACTTTAATTCAAGGTTATAGTTGACTTATTTCGTACATGTAGGTACTATTGCAACCTAAACGGGCTCATAGCCAACTGGGTCGTCTGTCAAGCTTTCTGTTCTAGCTATTTCTGCCCTCGTACCTGAAGCCTGGATCAAAAATACATCCGGTTATATAAACTGTCTGGACTAATGGATTCCAGTTTGTACAGGAAGTACGAATTTAGGAGTTTAATAAATAGGAGAGGGTTTAATAGTGAGTACTAAGTATTACCTTAAGTGTGTCAATTGGTGGCTCGATGTGCGTGGCTCCCTACTCCCTACATGGGGTGGTGTAGCGTGGGGCAGGTCGCTGGATCGATACCCGACGTCTGGGCTCTGGCCCTCAACCTCGCCTTTCTTACCACCTTCCTAAATACTAATTACGTGCTTTGACACAACGTGCGGGGCTCGTACGGAATGAAAAGAGCTTGATGCTACCTATTGCACTAGGAACTATAAACAAACATGTAGTTGTTCTATTTGTTAATAATAATGCAGCCATCGTTAGAAATAACAAAATACATGAAATTTTATTTTGTTACTTCACAATTGTAAACGATATTGATGATATTATGAAATATTATTTTACACTGGTAAAACAATGTTACGAATTAGTAAAAAGTCTTCTAATAAAACGCTGGTTCAATGACATCAAAATCAATATACAATTTGTAAAACAAATTATATTGTATAATATTTTGAAAACGCTACTAATGTATGAATATACTTTCGTACATTTACGATATTTCTATATTAAAGCTTGAGGAAAGGAAACAGGACTGAGTGGGGTAGGTCAGTTGATAATCGTTTGATTACTTCACGTTAACTTCTTAGAAGTTTAAGCGCGCCAGAAGTTAGAAGTTCCTCGGAGATTTTCAAGTACATTTTATGTAATGTTAGTTAAATTTGCATGGCGGAAAGGGTTAACCGTTAAATGTTTAAGTAGTCAAGGCTATTACTAACAAAAATGTTTCTTTTCCTGAGACCTAGTCAACGTGAACTGATACATAGTTTCTAAGTTACAGAAATTAATAAAGTAAATATTTTGCTAATGTTATATTTTTTAAATAATTCTACTTTAATTAACCAAATTTCAGTTTTAAATCGCGTAAGTCTTTGATTTATTTAATAGGTACCAAACTCACTCAGTATTTAACAAAGAAGATATTACTTGGACATTTCAACATGAATGCTGCCTTCGTTTGCTAACACTTTTTGAGGTTACAGTGCAGCTTTTCTAAGCCGGATAATATAAAGGAAACAAGATTAAAAATGTATTCCCTGCACGTGGGCCATAATGCGATTTATCGGTGCACGGGTACATCGTGACTGCATTGTGCTCCTAGATAGTTCGAATGTATCATTTTGTATGTGAAAGCTCACACGTCAAACGGCTAACGTCAACATAATCTAACAGTTCGAATTTATAAAGGCACTAACTCATTATAGCAGGCTAGGTGGTGTGGTTTCGTCCAGAAACTCGATGCATCTTTGGGTGTGGGTGTCGGGCGCGACTCCCCCCTCACTTTCGGCACTCACCCGCGGGTGGTGGGTGGTAATGGACGCACGAGGCTCCTCGGCCCTGTGCCGTGCACCGTCGCTCTTTATGTCGGCTTGCACGCGTGCACTTGCTAGTTTCTTTGACGTCCCTTTGTTGTGGATTCCAATTTTGGAACGTATCGCGATTGGATTCTAGATTACTTTGCTGCCAAGACTATTGGCTTACCTTAAGCTGTATTGATTTCTCTTCGCTGTTGTGCTGGGTTTGGATAAGCTATTGTTTCAACGTAAATCCAATTATTATCAGTTTATCCTTATCTATTATTTCGCTCTCTATTCAATTGAAAATAAATGAGTTTATTATTAACACTGAAAGCATTGGACCTTTATACCCACATTTTATGTGCATTGGCGACGAATAAATAATTAGTTTCCATATCGAATCAGGCAAAGTTATGAGGCAATTTGCGTGATAATTTTCTACTTACTTTGATTATACAGTAAGTATTCTTGACTTTTCTCGAGTATGCATTTCGCGGCGCGTCTAATCATGCAAATTTCCTAAGGCGGGGTGGTTGGGTCGGGTGGCACCATCCATAACTGTAACTGAAACTTGTAACATCACCCTCGAAGGTCGTTCAAAAGTTCTCTACTCAAATGAATCTGCTGCAGTGGAACACTTTCATTAGCTTTGTTCAGTTAATGCTTTAAAGCGTTCGTAATCTTTGGAAACTTGTCAAAATGTTAACTTAATGATATTAATTAATGAAAGTTAATATTGGGTTCTTAATTACAATCAACAAGACCACAGGGTTGAAAAATGCCTTAGACAGGAAAAAGTTAATGCAATTACATGAATGATGTTCCTGTAATCATTGTAATGATGATAATCCTAGTAATAACTATCAATTAAATATGATTAATGAAATGCTCGTTAACAAGATGGGCGTGAAAGGGCGTTCTGGCCGGGTGCACTATCGATCTCCGTTGAATTAGTGTGCGGATCGGTCGACGTCTTTGTGCTCGTCGTAGGGCCAAACAGACCAAAACAAGTCGGCCACCCTACGGCCCACTCCCGCCGCCTGTCGTTCAAGCCTTCATTTATGGTTTAGTGCCTCGATGCTTTTAAATTTCGCACTGCGGTGACGAAATTCGTATACTTGTTATACCTACAT